CATTTGCCCTTTTAGATTCACTAAAAAGCTGAGGGGTAATTGCAGACGCAAACCTGGTGCCGTTAACTGTAAAACTCCACGCTGAGTTAATAAAGAATTGGGCACTTAGCTTTGTGTTTTTGCATCTTAACACATGAAGACACTTTGTAAAGGGTTGAATGAACATAATTATCAATTTCCACATGCATATTAGGATTCAGCTGGGGCCAGGCAAATGCTTCCTAAACACAGGCTGTCGGCAATGACAATGAGCACTTCTACTCACTTCTCTCATCTACCACGTGCTCATTTGTGTCACTTTTTTCTTTGGACTCCTTTTTGTTGGTTTCTGCATGAATCCCTGGTGAGTGCAAAACAGTGAAGGTGCACTTGAAGCCATTATAATTTGTAGTGGAGGACAAAATGGAATTTGACTTTGTTCTCTATGGAGGAAATAAGAGATACATCTTACGGGATGGTGGAAATGGCAGAGAGTGGCTTGGGACAATGCAGAGCTAGTCTGCTTCATTTACTGGGAAATAAGTTCAGATGAAGGCTGAGGCAGGGGATTACGTGAAACAGGGAACAGAAGTGGAATCTTGTTCTGCAGAAGGAAAATTACTAAGGTATGTATATAAAATGAGTTTTGGATACATGGTGTATAAAGGTATAATTATGTGGTTATATATATTTGGACATATTCTGGCATAGAAATTGAAGGTAGCTGATTACGCTTTTGTGATTGCAGTAGTGAGATTGTCCAGGGACACAGGGTCACATTCAACCAAGTAGAGTGGGATAAACACTCAGGCAAGTCTTCACATTATCTGGCTATGAGACTGCCCTTCCCTCAGCAAATGAGTTTATAATGAAGAAGCCACATGCCTAGAAGTAAATAGTAAGCAGGGACAGAGTAGCACACACAGGTCTGGTATCTCCAATTTTGGAGAAGGTCTAAGGTGGAATACAGAAAAGATGATTCTCCTTCATTCTGTCCATTTCTACTGATCTACATCCAAAGCCTAACGCTACACAATGGGCTACAGGGCACAGTCTGGCTTCTTTCCTCGAGTCCAGGTGAAGCACAGGTATTAGAGCAAGTCTGCCTAAATCTGAATCCCCATTTCGTCAATTACTACCTGTGTGACTTTGGGCATATTTCTTCCTGACTCTTTCTGCCTCATCTGTAAAACGAAGATGACGATAATGGTACCGCCCTATAGAATTACTGTGAGAGATAGATAAATTTGCACAATCCCTGGCCTGTAGCAAGCACTCATCAAGCACTTTCTATTCTGATTTTTAATATATTGAAAACAGGACCCATGCGTGTGAGTCAGAGTGAGAAGTGGAGAGGTGTCGGTGAAGGCATACACCTTTCCTAATGTGCTTCTCCTACTCGGCCTGCATCTTTTAGTTCTTTTTCCTTCATCCCATATCCTCATCTCCATTTTCTTGTCAGTAATTTACATTGAAATAGTATCTCCTTCATTTTCCAAAACAAACCTACATTATAGGAAAACAGGGCATACAATGGTTCTCAAAAAGTCAACCTTTTATCATTGTGCATGGTTGGCTAAAGTTGCCCTGCAGGGGGAGCCCTTTCCCTCTCATCACCATACAACCAGCCCCATGAAAGAGAAATTTCTGTCCTCTAGAATCAAGTAAACCATCATTCTCAGCAAACTGACACGGGAACAGAAAACAAACACCGCATGTTCTCACTCATAGCTGGGTGTTGAACAATGAGAACACGTGGGCACAACGTCACACACTGGGGTAGGTTGGGGGGGGCTAGGGGAGTGACAGTGGGGGTGGGGCGGGGAGGCTGGGGAGAAATGCCTGATGTAGGTAAGAGGGGGCAGGTACGGAGACTGCAAATCACCATGGCACAGGTGTACCTATGCAACAACCCTACAGGATGTGCACATGTGCCCCAGAGCTTAAAGTACAATTAAAAAAAAAAAAAAAGAAGTAGATATGTCTGCCTTCTCCTTATCTCTCATTGCTACTCTTCAAAGAAGGAGGAGTTCTTTAAGTGACATATGAGATGAGGTTATTATTTGATATATGAGATGACAGTGTTATAACATATGAGATGAGGGTATTACAACGTAGATTGGAGCAGCCTCTGTACTGGAAAGAATTCATATGCTAAAGTCAGTGGATCCCTCTTTTTCTCATCTCTTACTCTTGATTGGGAGTGAGGTGAGTTGCAGTCTTCCATGCAGCTGATGGACAACAAGCAACCAGACCCAAGCCTTCTCCTATGTGAGCCCCTATATCATCTAATAGGGGGCATAAAACAAAGTATTTTAAAACTTAGTGGCTTAAAACAACCATCATTTATTATGTTTTACTAGTCTATGGACTATCAGGATAGTGCTGCTGATTCAGTGGGCTTGTTCCTGCATCTTCAGGCAGCTGGAGGGTTGTCTGGGGGGCGCTGGCTGATCTAGGATGGCCTCGTCTGGGGCAATTCGGTTTTGTTCATGTGTCCGTCATCCTCCAGTAAGCTAGCCTGGGCTTGTCCTCATGACAGTGGCAGACATTTGAGAGTGAGCAAACCCAGTTGCATTGAGAAGGCAAGAAAAAACTCATACAGGTTTGAAAGCCTCTGCTTTTATGAAGTTTGCTATTGTCTTATATTATAAAACAAGTCACACTTCCAAGCCAGGGAACTACAGAATTACAGGCAAAAAGTGTGTAAAAAGGAAGGCCATTCACTGGGGTCATGAATGCAATCAATCTAATCTCAATCCCAAAGTTTGCAATAAGGAGCCTGGGACATATATCCCCAGACTGCAAGGATAGGAACAAATGGTTTTCCCTGGGGATACTAGAAAAGCTATACAATGCAAAGGATTCTTGTGCCAACCTTTGGAAGATAAGAGCATATTCTTTAAGAGAAAAGAGGGCATACCAGCTCAAGCAGAATCTCAGAGGCCCAGACAGCTTGGTGTACTGAAAGACCTAGTAATAGTTCAGTGGAGTAAGTACAAAGAGGCAACGTGAGAGCTGAGGTTGAAGAGGTTGAGCCAAATAGCTTAGGTTTTATCTTGCAGTCTACCAGAAGCCATTGAAGATTATTAAGCTACTGAATGATGTGATCAGCTTTTCTTTGGAAAGATAACCCTTGCCCAAAGTAGCAGGGAGAGGATGAAGAGACTTACACCCACCTGATCTGTAAGTTGGGAGACTTTTGTTGTCAAATAATGCTCCTTCTTTTACCTACCCGGCTTTGTTTAGCTCTATTGTTCCTCTCAGGAACACAGCTAAGTGCTTCTAATTCACAAACCTGGAAGCCAGCTCTTTTCATAGTCATCAGACAATAAGGTACATGGGCTGTGGCCACAAAAAAAGAACGCTTGAAATAATGGCTGGAAAAAGAAGCAAGCCTTGGTTTGAGGCCTCTTTCTTGCATTTTCCCCCTGAAGCATCTATAATTATGCTGCAGAAAAATGGTTTACTTAATTCATGTTATTTCATGCAATATCATTAGCAGTATTCAGTTGTATCTTTATTACCCCTGTGCATGCTCCCTCTCTAACAGTTGAGAACAACAATGGGGCTTTAGTTATCTTCAGGAAACGAGCCCATTCATTCAGTGAAGGAAAAATGGCCCCAGCCCCAGGTTGCCATAGACACTGGAGAAGGCTGTCACCGAGCTACAGCTCACCTATTTCCTGGTGACATGCAGAATTAGAGGTATTGGGGAATCAAAGGGAAAACTAACTTGATGAAACAAAGGGTCCCCTCAGCATCTCCTGACATACTTCTTTGCAAAAGCAGTCTCTGCATCCCTTCTCCCTTCCCCTTCTCCCTGAAGCCAGGTGAATGAATTTCTATCCAAAGGTCTTAGAAGCACTAACCTTCATTCATGGCTCAAAGTCATGTACAGAGCAAAGATCTCCTTTAAACCACATCAGAGACTTCCCAGGATTCCAAACTTCCTGGCATGTCTACAAGTCCTGAAGGATCTGTCACCTGCCTGTGTCTCTGCATTCCCCAGTTACTCTGTTACTATCATGCTGTCCTCCTTTGAGTGCATAAATATGCAAAGCATTTTCCCAACTAGGGAGCCATTCATTTGGGGTCATGAATGCAACCAATATATCTTAATCCCAAAGTTTGCAATAGGAGCCTGGGACATATATCCCCATATTGGGACATATATTTCCCAACTAGGGGGTCTTTGTCCTCCGTGATTCCTCTTCCTAGTATTCTTTCCCTCTTGCCCTCTATGTGGTTGGCTCCTTCCTGCCCTTCAGGTCTTCTGAACTTCAGTTTGAAGGTCACTTTTCATGACAACCAGGCCTGCCTGTCATATCTAAAAATAGTTCCTCTACCTTATTCTCTATCACAACATTTTGGATCTTTCTTAGTGAATTTCATGATCTATAATCATCTTTTATTTGCTGTTGGCTTATTTATGACTAGTCTCGCCCAGCAGGGAGTAAGTTGCATAGACAGGTAACCTGATAGATGGATGTGCTTATCTTTGCTTGGTTTCTTCCCAAAGCAGACACTGAGTCAGGGAATTCAAGTGCAAGTGGTTGATTTGGGCGGTGAAGGCAGTGCAGCAAGAACAAGGCAGGCTGTAAAGGGTGTGTTATCCAGTGAGTTACCATGGGGTAGCTGGAGAATAATCCTCCTGGGGAACTCCAAGTGCCAGCATGGAACATACACCTCAGATGTACCCCAACTGAGAAGTGATAAGGCTGGGGTAGTTATACACTGATTCCCACCCATCACTGAGGGCTGTTCCCAGGAAGCAGGCATTCTCCATCACTTTCACTCTGGCATGTCTGTGGGCAGAGCAGGCTCTGGTGGCCAGAGAAAGTCTTTAGGTGAAGCGTTGTAGATGATACTGCTGGGAGTTGGGTTATGTAAACCAAGGCCCAAGAGGAAAAAGAGGGGATGGGATGCTGATAGCATCTGTCACTATGTGAGCTGAGATCACGCACTGCACTCCAGCCTGGTGACAGAGCAAAACTCCATCTCAAAAATAAATAAATAAATAAAAATGGAAGCAAAATGTATGGCTTTGTTGCAAATGGAGTACACACACACTGGTAGTACAATCCAGTGGATTTTTTGTTTGTGTACAAACCATCTAGCCACCACTCAAATTAAGATACAGAATATTCCCATCACTCCAGGAAGTTTCCTCGTGTTCCTTTCTAATCAATAGCGTCCCCTTACCCCCAGGAAGTTAGTCTTCTGACTTTTATCACCAAATATTAGATTTTCAAAGCAACACTTTTCTAATGTATAAAAGTAATACATGCACATTGAGACAATGACAAAAAGATAGAAGAGATTAAGTTAACTCACTTGTAATCTTACGGCCTGAACATGTTGGTCTGTTCCTTGAACATTTTGGTCTAGTTCTTGCTGTCTTTGTGGAACATTTACAAATTTTAACTTGAGACTATACTGTATATTTAATTTTATGTTTTGTTTTTTGAGTGAGTCCTTAGAACATTAGCATTTTTCCCAGAACAAATTCTTTGTGAACTTCATTTCACATGGCTTCAAATATTTCATTGAGGAATTTGGCAAAAAGGACTTACTGGTTCCCTAAATGTTGGCTATTTTAGTTCGTTTCCACGGTTTCACAGTAATGACCACCTTTTTCCATAAAGCTCTGTCTGAATTTCAGACCATTTTATTAGAATGGGGGTGAAAGTACCAGGCTAAAAAAATGACATATTCTTTAAACGCTTGAAACCCATTACCAAACAGCTGTCCAAAGTATGTAGATTTACATTCTTATCACCTGGATACACAAAGGGCACCCACGGAGCCACACACTTACCAGCACTGAGTGCCAATTTTTACTTGACAATTGAGACTATCCAGGAAAGTTTAGAAAAGCTCTTGAATTCAAGTTCTTGGTATTCCCTCTGAAGAACAATACTGGCTTATTTTCTTCTGATATTCTGTAATGTTTGGGTATTCCAAACAGGCAACCTCAGAAATCACTTTAGTTCTACATCTGGAGCCATCATTGAGAAATGAGTAGGAGGGACAGATGAGGAGCATGTATGCTCTGCCTTGGAGCAGGGTCACAGATGGCCCCCTGTTATATAACCGTCTACAGAGAAGTACATTTCGTTCACCTCTTATCTCATTATGGGCATCAGGAAGGAAGAAGTTGACAGACCCAGTCTGACTTGCGCAGCTTGAGAGGGTGTCTTTGTGATGATGGGGGCAGCATGTGAACTGATCATTACAGCAAAGGGCACAGCTAAGAGGCACAATGATCAGGGCCAACCTAGAGTTTAGGTCAGACTTGATAATGGCCTTTGAAGGCATATTCTGCTATTTAAAATTACCTTCCCATCTCCAGGAAATCTGGCCTTTTGTACTGGAATAAAAGACCAGGGTAAGTGTACATGCTCTCTATAGGACACCTCCAAACCTACTTCCAGGAAAAGCACTCCAGTGAAATTTTTTCTCCAAATAAGTGGGAAAACTCACCTCTGGCAGATTTTCAAAAGGCTCAAAGGAGTAAGTCCAGTGGTGTATGTGTCTGGCAGCACGACGTTTGTCTGAACAGGTGATTTCTGAACCCACCCTGGAAGTAATACTTCTTTGTCTGACGTTAGACGCCCTGGGCCTGTGTTTGTTGAACATGGCTTTCCTTTTCAGGTTTCTCTCTAAGTGACTTTGGATCGCATGATGGTCACCAGCACCTAATGACTTTTGTATCTTTTTCAAGTTCATCATGCATTCAGATGAAGGGCATGCAATCATTTTTGTTGCAAATGCATTTTTTTCAGGAGACCTTATTAGGTGCTGAGATGTTTGTCCACAACAGTAATCACATTTCTGTGATGATCTTTCAATATCTGGGATAGAAAAAAGAAAAAGAGTTTTTTGTGTGTATGCAGTATGCAGCTGGAGAGTTTATGCTCTCTGAGTCTCATTAGCCTGCCATTCTTGGTGCCTCTGTGTTTATTCTGTGATTTGCTGATTATAATGCATGTCTGTCTCCCAAAGAAAATGATTCCAACTTCCATGGAGATTAGACTGAGACTAAAAAGGTGAATGCCTGGATGCTGGACGTTCCTGGCAGCCTGGGTCTGCCCACATGTGCAGCATCTGTAGTGGGTCTGACAGGTGCTCTGTCTGTCCCTGTCTGCCCCACATTTGCTGGGTTAGCTGCCCCACCTTTCAGCCACGGGGCAACACATGACCAGCCTTTCTGTCCATCTCGCAATCATTCCTCTTGGAGTTCCTGCCACCTCCTTGGGACACTGTGAACGTGTAGAATGCAAATCCACAATCCATAGGGAACCCCAAACCACCTTCTAGACCTAGGAACCCCCTTGTTCCTGCAGCTTCCAACTATGGGGACTCAAAACAGCTCCCTGCCTCAATTCACACAATCTCTTTACCACTTTACATTTTCAGAATGAAAATGTAAAAGGGATAGGGTGGTGTCTTCACCTTCTGTGTGAACACACTCAAGCCAAAGGCTCATATGTGTCAACATGCCATCTTTAAGCAGGGGCAGAGAGAAAACACAGAAAACAAAATACGATAGATCTTATTCTCTCTCTCTCATTCTCATTCTCTCTCTCTCTCTCTCTCTCTCTCTCTCTCTCTCTCTCTCTCTCTCTCTCTCTCTCTCTCTCTCTCTCTCTCGATGGAGTCTTGCTCTGTCACCCAGGCTAGAGTTCAGTGGCATGATCTTGGTTCACTGCAACCTTCACCTCCTGGGTTCAAATGAGTCTCATTCCTCAGCCTCCCAAGCAGCTGGGACTACAGATGTTTGTCACCACGTCTGGTTGATTTCTTGTATATTTTAGTAGAGACAGGGTTCACCATGTTGGCCAGGCTAGTCTCGAACTCCTGGCCTCAAGTGATCTACCCACCTCGGCCTCTCAAAGTGCTGAGATTATAGGCATGAGCCAATGCATCCAGCCTGGGTCTTATTCTTTCTGATTCTGTCACAACCAAACACACACACACACACAAACACACACACACACACACTGTCAACAAGTTATCTTGCCATACATATGCTCTCTTGCTTAACTCCTACTAATCCTTCTAACCCCTCAGCTCAAAGTCTTATTCTCTACGACACCTTATTTGTCTCACTCCAGCAACTGAAAGCAGATCACCTCCCCCTCGGCTGATCCTGTTTTATTGGCCTCACTGAATTCATAATACCAAATTCAATTTTTTTCTCTTATAGACTACAAGTGACTTGTGGGCAAGAATTTTTCTTTCCAACATCTTTCCTCCCTAGGAAATAGCCCAGCGTCAAATGCATATTAGGGACTTACTAAATGTTTTTCATGACATTCAATGTTACAGTTAACCTGCCTCCTAGTTAATATAAATAATAATAATAGAATGAGCTCTAAAAATTTGCCAGGTACTATTATAAATGCCTCTTTGACATTGAAATGAGGGCAAAACTTCTTACTAGTCTGGGAGTTAATGTTATTATCCTCCATTTTACAGATAAGAAAACAGAGGTTCAGAGAGATTTAATGACTTCCCCAAAGTCACATAGCCAGTAAGTGGTAAAGTCAGGATTTAAGACTAGGTTGTCTGGCTTCTAGTAGAATCCATGAATTTAACCTACTGCTTCAATATATTGTCCCCAGAATAATCTCATAACACTATGAATTAAGACCAAAAGTTTCAATCAAAGGAAAGGGTAGTGAACAAAATCATTTCAAATTTACCTAATAATGTCACAGCACTATGAATTAAGACCAAACATTTCAAAGGAAAGGGTAGTGAACAAAATAATTTCAAATTTACCTGAAAATAACAGGCTCTTTTTACTATCACTAATGTTTAAGCCAATATGTGCTCATTCCTTTGTGCCTTCGTTCATTCTTTCTGCAAATATTTACTGACCATTGGTTCCAAGGACTGATGTAGGAATTGGCCTTCAGTAATGAACAGAAAACGACACAACCTTTATTTCCGCAAAGCTTAGCGTCTAAATTCATTTAAATTTAGCTGTTTTTCAGCAAACAACTTCTGAGAACCTTCTTTGTGTTGAGCTTGCGCTAGGTGCTGGAGATGCAAAGATGGCTCCACAAGACTCTGTGGGTGCCTTGACAAACTTACAAATAGCAGGGAGATAAGCACTTAACAAGAATTGAAATGTAAAAGGATGAAAAGAAATACTTTTCACTGCTGGGTGCAGTGGCTTACACCTGTAACCCTAGGACTTTGGGAGGCTGAGATGGGCAGATTGCTTGAGCTCAGGAGTTCCAGACCAGCCTGGGCAACATGGTGAAGCCCTGTCTCTATCAAAAATACAAAAAAAGGGCCGAGCACAGTGGCTCATGCCTGTAATCCCAGCATTTCGGGAGGCTGAGGCTGGCAGGTCACGAGGTCAAGAGATTGAGACCATCCTGGTCAACATGGTGAAACCCCATCTCTACTAAAAATGCAAAAATTAGCTGGGAGTGGTGGCACAGGACTGAAGTCCCAGGTACTCGGGAGACTGAGGCAGGAGAATTGCTTGAACCTGGGAGGCAGTGGTTGCAGTAAGCCGAGATCACACTACTACCCTCCAGCCTGGCGAGAGAGCCAGACTGTCTCAAAAACAACAACAACAACAACAAATAAAACAGCTAGGCATGGTGGTGGGTGCCTGTGGTCCCAAAAGAAAGGGAGAGAGGGAAGGAAGAGAAATCTTTTTCCAGATCTAGAAGTCTTTCTGGAGGAGACATGGCAGCACTGAATCTTGAAGAATGCACAAGTGTTAACCAGGTGGAGAACACTGGTGCAGCTGTTGCAAAGCTGTAGCGATGAGGACCCACAACCCCTGTGCAGCTCTCTACCAACAGTTTGATGTTGCTCACACCTAGTGAGAGGCAGTCAAGACTAGGAGATAAAGTTGGAGAACATAAAGGACACAGGCAATAGAATGTGTTGGAAAAATGAAAATATTTCCATAAAACCTGTGAGGCTTTCGCCTCCCCTCCCCTCCCTTCCCCTTCCTTCCTTCTCTTTCTTTCTTTCTTTTCACAGTGTCTTGCTCTGTCATCCAGGCAGGAGATCAGTGGTGTGATCTCAGCTCACTGCAACTTCCACCCTCGGGGCTCAAGTGATACTCCCACCTCAGCATCCTGAGTAGCTGGGACTATAGATGTGTGCCACCTTACTTAGCTAATTTTCATATTTTTTTGTAGAGACAGGATCTCTCCATATTGCCCAGGTTAGTCTTGAACTCTTGGGCTCAGCCAATCCTCCAGCCTTGGCCTCCCAAAGTGCTGGGATTACAGGTGTGAGCCAAATTTCTACCCAATATTTAACAGCAATGAAAAGGAAAGAAACTAGTCTTGGTGAAGGGGAGGGGCAAAGAGCTTCCTTCTAAGATGGTTGTGTAAAACAAAGATCCTGGGAGATGGCTATTTGGTGACAATCATTGCCTTGCCCAGCCAAGAAGTACTTTGGAAATAAATTACTGGACTTGTAGGCTGGACTCCTATTTTATATGAGAAGCAAACTGTGCTTAAACAAGATTGATGTCCAGATGATTCCATAAGAGACAGAAAATAATGTCAAGGGGGAGAAAAATGAAAAAAAAAAAAAAAACAAAAACAGATCTAAGAAGAATAATAAAGGGGCATTAGTGGATGGTTTATGGTGCATGCCATTTTGTTAATGTTAATCCTTCCCAGGTGTGTCATACAAGTCACAGAACAAGGCAATAAATGGAAGTTTTATTTTCTTGTTTAATATGAGGCCCTATGAACTAAATGAAAATATAGGGGTCTGGTAACATGGGGAGTTGATTACTAGGGTATAAAATTAATCAGAGGGGTACGTCCCAGCATGTAGTAACAAAAACAATCACCATCATTAATGTTGGATTGCTACTTCAAAGATTATCAGTGCTTGCACGGTGCATTATTTCATGACATCCTATCTCAGCCCTGGGAAGTGGAAATTGTACCATCTCCATTTTATAGATAACAGATAATAAAATAGGCAAGTCTTTCCCGAAGTCTTTCAGTATGGAGCCAAATTAGAATTCAGACTCAGGTGCACTGACTCTAAAATCAATTTGTTTGGCCTATATGACATCCTCTCCCAATTAGCAAGTTGGTTCCTACAACAAGTTCTCCAAAGATTAGTTAGAATTTCATTTCGCTGGTCCCAAGACACATCTAACCATCAACCTCAAAATCTCTTCTACACAGATAACGCTCATTTTAGCTGGTATAGTTGGATTCCAGAAACAGTGCTTTCCACTTTTCTCCAATGAACTTCCCCAGAAGAAACAGTGTATTGTTTCAAAAGACAAATGAGACCTAGTTAAACTCCAGAGTTTCTGCACAGCAAAAGAAACAGCCATGAGAGTGAACTGGCAACCAACAGAATGGGGAAAAGTTTTCGCAATCTACCCATCTGACAAAGGGCTGATATCCAGAATCTATAAAGAACTAAAACAGATTTACAAGAAAAAAACAAACAAACCCATTCGAAAGTGGGCAAAGGATATAAACCGACACTTTACAAAAGAAGACATACATGAGGCCAACAAACATATGAAAAAGTGCTCATCATCACTGGTCATTAGAGAAATGCAAATCAAAACTACATTGAGATACCATCTCACGCCAGTTAGAGTGGCGATCATTAAAAATCTGGAGACAACAGATGCTGGAGAGGATGTGGAGAAATAGGAACACCTTTACACTGTTGGTGGGAGTGTAAATTATTTCAATCATTGTGGAAGACAGTGTGGCGATTCCTCAAGGACCTAGAAATAGAAATTCCATTTGGCCCAGCAATCCCACTATTGGGTATACATCCAAAGGATTATAAATCGTTCTATTATAAGGACACATGCACACGAATGTTCATTGCAGCACTGTTTACAATAGCAAAGACTTAGAACCAACCCAAATGCCCATTGATGATAGACTGGACAGGGAAAATGTAGCATATATACACCATGGAATGCTATGCAGCCATAAAAAAACGATGAGTTCATGTCCTTTGTAGGGACATGGATGAACCTGGAAACCATCATTCTCAGCAAACTGACACAAGAACAGAAAATCAAACACTGCCTGTTCTCACCTATAGGCGGGTGCTGAACAATGTGAACACATCAACACAGGGAGGAGAGCATTACACACTGAGTTCTGTTGGGGGGGAACTAGGGGAGGGACAGTGGGGGTGGGGAGTTGGGGAAGGATAGCATGGGGAGAAATGCCAGATATAGGTGATGGGAGGAAGGCAGCAAACCACATTGTCATATATGTACCTATGCAACAATTCTGCATGTTCTTCACATGTACCCCCAAACCTAAAACACAATAAAATAAAATAAAAAGAAAAGAAATGCAATGAAAAGTCCTTTTATCAGCAGCCCTATGAATCTGCTTTTGTCTCTAGGTGAGTTACGGCTCTGGTGAAGGAAAGCAATCTCTCAAACTAAAGGAGAGTAGGCAACATTCAGCTTCAACCGACTTTGGTTTGCAAAACGTTTTGTTTTGAGCAGTTTGTTTTCTTTGAACTGTTAATTTTGAAATAGGGATGGACTCACTGGAAGTTGCAAACATAGTACACAGTCCCATGCATGCTTCCTCTAGCCATGCAACAGTAACATCCTTTTTAAATTTTTTATTTTTATTTTTTGTAGAGATGAAGTCTCACTGTGTTGGCCAGGTTGGTCTCAGACTCCTGGGCTCCAGTGATCCTCCTGCCTCAGCCTCTCAAAATGCTGGGATTATGGGCATGAGCTATGGTGCCCAGTCCCCAACAGTAACATCTTGAAAATCTGTAGTATGATATTATTGCAGAATGTTTTTAAAAATGAATTTGTTGGCCAGGCATGATGGCTCATGACCACAATCCCAGCACTTTGGGAGGCCAAGGTGGGCAGATCACCTGAGGTTGGAAGATTGAGACCAGCCTGGCCAACAAGGTAAAACACTGTCTCCACTAAAAATACAAAAATTTGCTGAGTATGGTAGCACGTACCTGTAGTCCCGGTTACTCAAAAGGCTGAGGCAGGAGAATCGCTTGAACCTGGGAGGTGGAGGTTGCAGGGAAACGAGATCCTGCTACTGCACTCCATTCTGAGTGACAGAGCCAGACTCCATCTGAAAAAAAAAGAAAAAAAAAAATTTTTTTCTAGTTAACATTTGCGGACACATCAAGACTCAGGTGTCTCTGTGTCTCTTCCAGAGAGATTTCTACAGCTGGAAAAAGATTTTGTTTTTTATCCTTTTTTCAAACCAAAACAAGCAAAGAAACATCAATAACAAAATTAGGAGGTCTAACAGAAGAGTTAGATTTCTGGCCTTTCTTGGAGACTTGGAAGATCTGGCAATGTGCTCCCCCATGGGTGCTACTAGAGGCTAACTCCTGGCTGCCTTTTGCCAACCAACAGGCAAGCACTCTTCAGCTCTATGAAGCTACATCAGTTTTATTATCTGCCAGGCCTTTGGAGGCAGCTGAGTTTGCACTTGCAAATACAGAGTACAGGTAATTGCATTTTTTTGGAAGGGCAAGTTTTGAGTCATCTTGGGTTACCTTTTCAGCACCTCCCTTTGGGCTTGGAATTATATGACTACAGCCCTGCACATCGTTTTAGTTTCAGGTCAAAACACATCTGAAACCAGAGTTCTGAAGCTGGGGTGCTATCAGGCTTAAGTCATCCAGTCTTAAGCTGGGGTGACCACAATAGGGACAGCACCAAGTTTGAGAGGCCAAAGAGACTCAGAGCCAGTGAATGAGACATGGAGTTCACTGAAGGCTTACATACAGGGCAGCCCAGCGGGGCAGGTTGGACAGGGGAATCACAACCACTTACAGAAAGCATGCAGCCTATGCAGCATTTTCACTTAGCAGTCTTTCCTTAGCAATTTACACCTGGCAACCTTCATTGGAACCCAAAACAAAGGGCACTGATCTCCATGCAGGGCTTGCGTTCCAGGGCTGGTGGCAGGGTTTGGAGTGGGGGGTGAGTTCAGATGTTGCCTATAGACAGGGAATGAATCTCTAGGTTGGCCACTCTTGGATTCCTTCACTTAAAACTCCAAATACAGATTCTCCTTAGCTCATAGGGTCATTCTCAAGTAGGGTATGTGTGCCATGCCGGTGCACAAATTCCCATTCTTGGGATTTGGTGACTCTGAGAACCTCCTGACAGTGGTGGAAAGTTCTGTGTCCCTCTGACCCTGGTAGGTTTAAGCAATTTCATTTTAGAAGGATGCCATATTGTTGCTTATGTTTCCTTCTCTTACATTCAGCTTACTCCTCCCCAAGAGACAGAAACAGAGTTCTAAGCACAGTTTGCATGTATTTTCCTTCAAATGCTTTTATCTTCTGCTTTTATTTTTCCTCAGATCCCTGTGAAATAAAATGTATTTCTTTTCTGCTAGCTCTGGCCTCTCCACTCCCCTCCCAGGCCCTACCTCTTGCTCTCATTATTGCCATGTGAGTTGGATTAACTTTCTCTGCTCCCTGATTATCCCTCCCTTCTTTAAACAAAGCATACACAGGTTTTGGGCTAGTAGTAGAAACGAAGCTCAGAGCAGAAGAGACTCTGTTACAGAATAACTAGGAGACATGCTAAGAGAATGTCAGTCTTGACATTTTGAAATCTGGATGTCTCTGCTCTGTGTTAAAGCTAGTCAAGGGCAAGGTGCTTTCTTTTTCCTTCTCCCCTTTCAATAAAGGAGCTTAAATTCTATCCCTGATTCCCAGTGTAGCAGGAAAACGAATGGATGGAGCCAAAGAGAAAAGCAGACGAGGCTCTACTGCAGAAAAAGAAGGCATTAAATGCATTAGAGTTCCATGGATGAGGTCTGGGAATTAGAGGGTATACAGAGGGGAGAGGCTTTCCTTCTATGGAAAGGGAGCCCTCTCGCATCCAGAATGAACCTTCCACCCCCACCACCACACTATTAAGAAACCACCTTCACATTCATGGATTCTGTGGGGGCATGTGACTGGGTGATAGTAAGACTGATAATTCACCAGGACTCCCCTCCTCCGTGAAGGAGATAAACTTACCAGTGAGTACAGGAAGGCTTATGACCCTCTCCAAACACACATTCTCTCGAGCCGCGCCTGCCTGAGTATTAACTCAGTCCGTTAACAGCATTTTATCTAATCAGCTCCAGCTGCCCATGCTGGTAAATCGCTGAGATCACTGCCCTTCTAATGGAAAGTTTGGAAGGTCAGAAGAAGCGGAGTTGACTCCCAGCTGGGCTTTTGAGAGCTGACCTTTTATTTCCCTCTGTGGCTCTGTGGCAGAACCAAGTCCTCATTTCCCAAGAAGGCCCTTGTAATTGGTTTTCATACTGGCAGCAGCAGAGACATTTAATGAGGTGGAGGTTCGGGCTCACATTTAAGGTATTAAAGATTTGAGAACTTCTGGCCAGGTGCAGTGGCTCACGCTTGTAATCCCAGCACTTTGGGAAGCCAAGGCGGGCGGATCACAAGGTCAGGAGTTTGAGACTAGCCTGTCCAATATGGCGAAACCCTGTTTTTACTAAAAAATAGAAAAATTAGCCAGGTGTGGTGGTGCATGCCTATTGTCCCAGCTACTTGGGAGGCTGAGGCAGGAGAATCGCTTGAACCCGGGAGGTGCAGGTTACAGTGAGTCAAGATCATGCCACTGCACTCCAGCCTGGCCAACAGAGCGACAGTCTGTCTCAAAAAAAAAAATTTGAGAACTTGAAGGGCCACTGGAAGCCATGTCTCCTGTCTTGTTTCCACCATATTTTTGGTGGTCATTTTTGGTTTCTTCCACCAGTCCCTGGGTCCCCCTTCCAAGCTGTTACATCTGAAAGACAGGTTTTCCTAAATATCTAATTCTAGAATCACTTCAGGTAACGTCTTCCCTCCTTCCAGATGTACTAAGGCACAATAGACAAATAAAAATTGTATATATTTGGCCGGGCGTGGTGGCTCAAGCCTGTAATCCCAGCACTTTGGGAGGCCGAGGCGGGTGGATCACGAGTTCGGGAGATCGAGACCATCCTGGTCAACATGGTGAAACCCCGTCTCTACTAAAAATACAAAAAATTAGCTGGGCATGGTGGCGCGTGCCTGTAATCCCAGCTACTCGGGAGGCTGAGGCAGGAGAATTGCCTGAACACAGGAGGCGGAGCTTGCGGTGAGCCGAGATGGTGCCATTGCACTCCAGCCTGGGTAACAAGAGTGAAACTCCGTCTCAAAAAAAAAAAAAAAAAAAAAAAAAAAAAAAAAAAAAAAAAAAATTGTATATATTTAAGGTAAATAACCGACAATTTGATACATGCATACAATTGTAAAATGAAATGATTGCCGCAATCGAGTTAATTAACACATGCATCTCCTCCCATAGTTACGTGTGTTTTAGTGAGAACACTTAATATCTACTCTCCTAGCAAATTTTAAGTATACAATAGAGTATTATTAACTCCAGTCACCATGCTGTACGTTAGAGCTTCAGAACATAATCATTTTACAGTTGAAAATTTGTTCCTTTTGACCAACATCTCCCCATGTTCTTCTCCTCCAGGGCCCTGGACACTACCCACTGTTCTGAAATCAGTCTAGGGGAACAGAGAAGACATAGGGTCTGCCTCTTGCTCTTATGTGAGCTCTCTGTTTCTATGAGTTTGACTTTTTAAAGATGCCACATGTAACTGAGCTCATGCCCTATTTGTCTCCCTGTGTCTGGCTGATTTCACTTAGCATCATGTCCTCCAGGGGTACCCATAGTTTTTACAAATGGCCAGATTCTAAATGCTTGCTCTCTTTAGTAAAATGTCCCAAGAATGACCTACATTTCCTTTGCTTTCTTTTAGGGTCATTTTCTCTAGTTTTCTCATTAGCAGAGACAGCCGGATGGAGTGCACCTCATCTTGCAAAGGAATAAAGACAGTAATTAAGTTGCAGTTTAGTCTTTTCCTTTCCAGGCTAACTAATCCCAATTATTTTTAACCTTTTCACATAGGCCTTTTGTTTTCTGACCTTTTAATGAATTTTCACTCCATACTTCCAGTTCTTCTTCAGCGGTTACACATTCTTCACAGATTGCCAAAACTTTTCAATAGTCATAAAGAAATGGTTATATTTCCCCTAGTTGCAGTAGCAAACTCTCATACGTTTTTGAGAAATACCTAATAACAATGATGTGTCTAATTTTTCAGTTACATTTCTGCAAGGACATTTTCCCACCAAAGTGTCAGCTATGCTCTCTTCTTTATTTTTGTAGCTTAATGTCTTCTCTACAAAATAAAATGATTATTTAAGATTTGTTCAAGGCTGGGTAGGTGGCTCACTCCTGTAATCCCAGCATTTTGGGAGGCTGAGGCAGATGGATCACGAGGTCAGGAGTTCAAGACCAGACTGGCCAAGATGGAGAAACCCTGTCTCTACTAAAATACAAAAATTAGCTGGGCCTGGTGGCAGGTGCCTGTAATCTCAGCTACTTGGGAGGCTGAGGCAGGAGAATTGCTTGAACCCAGGAGGTGGAGGTTGCAGTGAGCTGAGATCGTGCCACTGCACTCCAGCCTGGGCGAAGAAGCGAAACTCTGTCTCAAAAAAGAGATTTGTTCAAATAGCTATCAAAGCATTACTAGATATTTTAAGAGTATGCTAGCTACTGTCAGAGATAGAAAATAGGTAGACGCTGTTAGGTCTCTGTAATACAAACACCGCAATAATGGGTATTGGGGAACTGATTCTGTTTGAGCACCTCCTATGTGCCCAGTGCATTCTTAACCTCTTCTAAACCTCCCAGAATCTTCAGAAAATGATTTCATTGCCACTTTCCAGATGAGCAAACTAAGTGTCACAGAATGCAAATGCCTTGCAGATGTTCTCACAGTTATTGAAAAAGTGTTATGAACTTAGACTTGCCTTCCCAGATATCCAATGCTTGGAATTGTTAGGCCTTAGATTATTTTTGCTATCCTCACTTGTAAGACCTTGGATCCCTTTCTCTAAGAGTCAAGAATCATCTCAGAGTAGGGGGGAAGCTGGTATTCATAATCACTTGAGAAATGCTGTTAGCCCCCAGAAGTCAGTGGGGGAGTTCACACAAGAGGGAGCTGCAAGCTATCAGGATCTTCTCAGTGGAATCACAGTAACCGAGTTGCTT